ATATACTTTCCTTTTCCTGAAATATTTCCGGATGTTTCTTGAGGCTTGACAAACATAGCTGATTTAGAGATCATATATACAATACGACGTTTTATTGATACAAACATTGTCACTATTTGTCACCGGTAAGGATTAAACAAAGGCTTATGAGTGTGTATACATGCTTTCCTCATTCAAAGTCACTGCGAGACATCATAGTTATGGTAGCAATATGTCAACTACAACCAATTTAATATTGTTTACTATAATTTAGATACTGTATGTCTATTTATTCATTTGATATTTGATTGATGTGTATATTTGTTCAAGATAAAAGGCTACGAAAGACCTTCCCGTTGTCCAATTTCATTTGTTTACAAAATTGTGACAATAAAATCTGAAATTATATCAGTTGGATGTACCATATAGAGTTATAAGGTCAAATATATGATATCTGTTATAAATGAATCTGGCAACACAAAGCGATATTTCGTCTCATAAGGTTCTAATAAATATATACAAAACAGTCTGTAATAAGGATATCAATAATATATTTCAAAACGATTAACATAACATAGATTGCCTTCTAATGATACTCACAGGGTTTGCATTTATTCTTTTATGATGTATCATTATTTTTTATGATCGACGTTGTTTTCAAATGAAAGAAACATAACGGTAAGATTACATCTACATATTTTGTTTGATGTTTTATGTTTTTTTGTTTTTTGTTTTTTTTTCTGTGAATTGTTATATAGAATATTGAGGGTCATGTTCAGATATGAGTGTTCAAATTTTGAAATTAAAACTCGTGCATCTGTACATTTTATTCAAATTATCAACAAAAAACAAGGTCTTGATAATTTTGCATCTGGAAATGTTAAGCTCAAAAAACCTTTAAAAAACAAACATGTCGTACATCAAATACAATAAATCAAATCAAGAAAACAGGCAAACTATGGATATAAATAACGAAATTAATGTAGATAATTAGATACAAAAATCATCGTTATGGTGACAAAGTTCACGTTTTGATTTAATCGAATAGTGGTGTGGCTCATTTTGGCAGATGTACATGACATACACCGAAATTATCAGATTTCTATCGATCAATTTATATATTTTTCAGCCGCCGTCTTAATTCAGAATTTAGGCCCTTAGCATCACCGATGAGTTTGTAAAGAATTAAACTGCTCTATGAAGCCTTTTATTTAGTTCTTGGATCTACTGTATCTATACTGAAAGGATAAAGAAACGCAGGGTAATATTTATTCCGATATTTTGAAAACGCGTTCTCCAAATAAAGTGAATCTTTGTGGATTGAGTAATTAGGTCATATTACACCTTGCCATGTATCGAAAATTTAGTCACGGTACAGTGCGCAGCTCTGGTATATGGAGGAAAGAAAAAACAAGAATCTCGTGCACCGTGTTGTTCTTGTCTCATGCAGCGTTGGTCAAGTCACTCTTCGTTAGTCTTTATACAGACCAACTGCTTCCCTAAAATTAATTGAGAATTTGATTCGTTTTAAGAATGGCACGACTCACAGAAGTTCAGAGGGGTCAGGACATTCAGATGCTGATGCAAGGACAGCTGCAAAACCAGGTTGCTAGGCACTTTGGTGTTAATGTTTCCACCATACAACGTCTTGTAAGACGTCTTCGGGAAACTGGGCGATTGGCCGATCGACCTAGGTCAGGACGTCCGCGCGTAACGTCACGACGTGAGGACCGCTATATCGTCGTCTCTTATTTGCGTAATCGGCGCCTCACTGCCGTTGAGAGTGCACTTAATGTTCATGGAAATCATGGGCGTCCTATAAGTTCAAAAACTATAAGGAATCGATTACGAGAAGTTGGCGTAAAAGCACGACGCCCCTACGTAGGTCCACACCTTACCCCTGCTCGACGTCAGCGTCGTATGGCCTGGGTCTACCGACGTCGTGGCGAACGTTTTACGGACGCTTGCGTTGTAGAGAGGGATAGGTTTGGGGCGGTTCAGTAATGGTGTGGGGAGGAATCTCACACGGGTTAAAATCACAATTGGTTTTTATTGATGTCAATTTAACAGCAGCTAAGTATAGAGATGACATCCTCCGACCCCATGTTATCCCTTTCTTACAGCAGCATAATCTAACCCTCCAGCAGGATAATGCTAGACCCCACGTAGCAAGGATTTGCCAAGTCTTTCTGGCCAACAACAACATTCAACCACTAGATTGGCCGCCTTATAGCCCTGATTTGTCCCCGATAGAGCATCTTTGGGACCAGTTGGATAGACAGGTACGAAAGCGCCAGCCACCCCCTCCTACTCGAGAGCAGTTGACCAGAGCTCTGATTGAAGAGTGGGACAACATCCACATAAGACGGATTAACGCTCTCATGAACTCTATGACCAGAAGATAAGGGCCGTGACCACAGCAAACGGCGGACACACAAAATATTGATGACTCAGTTCAATTTCAATTTCAAAATCCTATGGGTCCATTCAGTTTAATCGTTAGTACCTCTAAACCCATTGTCAGATGCAAAATACAGACTTTGGAAATTTTTAAGCTTTAATTTATCTGTAAGTATACAAAATTGCGTTTTAAATGAAGCCCGATATCATACTTAATTTCTGGTTTAAAGTTCACCCTGCGTTTCTTTATCCTTTTAGTATATTTAGATGTGTTCCTCATTTGTGTGTATTTTGTGCAATCTCCAATGTCTCTGTTGATAACAATGGAGAATGAAGATTAGAGTTTTACTATCAAATGAATGTTGACCTAAACTTACCAGGTAAGTCACATATGAAGGAAAATGGCACACATAGAAAAAGGTAAAGTACTTTGTACAATATCTCTTCTCAGTGAATTAACTATCAATCGTCTTTGATTATCCACTATCTGTAATGTTCTATCTGATGTCGCTTTTTCAAGTTAGATTACAAATAAATTATGTTTGACAGATGTAATGATTTTGCTACCTTAATGAACAATGATACACATCACGGTCGTCGTCCATGATGGCAAAGAGGATTACTGTCTCTCGACGAAAACATTTTCTACGATGAAGCGTTACCTAAATGAGATGAACGTTTTCTTTGTTCCTTTAAGCCTGAATATTAAAATGAAATGACGTATTTGTTGAATGAAGAATATGTTCCTTCAAATCGAGATTTCCTCCAGTCATCTTAGTGTGTAACACGAGCTTATAAACAACCTGATAAGAAATAGAAGTGTGTTATGATTTTTATTTGATATTTGTGAGAGATAATTACTTTTGATATGCTTATAACAGCTCTTAGGTATAGAGGCATTGGCAGTCCCGGAAATAGCCGCATTGAATATGAAGTTAATCATAGTGAATATAGAACGTGATATCTTGTATAGGCGGAAACTCTCGCAGTGTCACCATTGTGATATTGACATAAAAGTCTGACGATGTGACTCAAGTGGTATCTGGTTCTATAATGTCATTTTAGTGAGTATACCAGGAATGTAGGAATGTTATCCGATATTTATGTTTCAGAGTCCATTACATGTCACGACATTTAACGTAAGGGGGGGGGGGGGTCTGAAAAAATCAGCACTGAAAAAATCTAACCACAGTCTTATTTCCAATATCACTTAACTTACAGAAACTGTACCTAAAACTGTAATTTCATCACTTCGCCATGGTTATGGGAATTTGATATTCACAGTATGGTAAGGCATTGTAAGAACCTCTTTGATTATATTTGATAATACAGTATCCCATAATAGGGTTTTGGGCATATGGTTTTTGACATCCAGTTAATTTGAGCCCTTGTTGTCCAAACCCATTTAACCCCAGGTCAATATGTGAATACCGCCGAATGAAATGCTATCCATGCTAATAACTCTAACCCAGCTGGAGTTTATGATGATGAAAACAAAACAAATCCATTCTAATCAACAGTAAACTTGATCTCTCCTCAGAAGGATATATCAGATATCCGGAATCACGAAATCGACTATTTTGGGAGAAAGCTGATAATTCTGTATATCTAATCAAGCTTCTTACTGATGTTCTTCTATTCAGCAGATATACCCTTCATACTTTGAAATCAAAGACAGCGTTTCGACATCAGCCGCTTATCACTAAGGTACATGAAATGCGCTATTGTGAATTTTCCAATTATAGGTTTGTTGCAAATGTCATTTATTCAATGATAGATATCGACAACTATTAAACGTTTCCGAAGATAAAGGTTAGGAAAACTATAATAACGTTTTATGGTTGCTATCATAATACGATAGGGGAATCCATGTTTCCGCGTGTTATTTGAAATTAAATGTCTTCGAATGTGGTTTATATCTGAAGATTTCTTTGTAAATACAAATATTCTAAGAACTTGACATCACATGGATCGATTTAGACCAACTTGTGTCAACCATGAAACAGATTATGTAGCATCGAATGCCATTCGCCTAAGGATAAACGACACAGCACAGAAATACAAATAGTCAAGAATAAGAAACTTCGAACCACAAATCTGAACTCGTGGTCACGTGGATCAACATCCTACGATTGCGGTTTGTGCATCCGTACAAGCAGATCGAGTGTATATAGAAAAAAATGCGAAAAAGAATGGTGTAGTTTCTCTTGTAAACAATGGCTCACAGCTAGCTTAATATTACGTACTACTGACATTGTATATAACACGTGTTAATCCCTCGATATCAAACAGAGGTCTGCATCCTAGCTATCTATCATCTTCGAAGAGATTAAAAGTCAATAAATGATGTAACTACGACAAGCAGCCATTTTTTCAGACTAGTTACGTTAATTCAAGGCTCGTCATCGTAAAATGATTAGTGTAGGCAGTGCCTGATTTTAATGTAAGATAACCTGCGTCATTGGACCTCTTTGTCGGCATTTGTTTTAGATATATGTTTGTATATTATGCTTGGATATATATCTCCGTGTCATATATCTATAGGTAATCTAGTTTTTCATACTAATTTTCTAAGCAGATCTATTTGTACAATACTGAAAATGACAAGACACCAACTCAAATTCCACATTATTGAAATTAGTTTTATTTGATAACAAATCGTACAATAACAAAAACAACTTAACCAATAGCTAGTGTAAAGGTTTGGGATCCATGTATGATGCAAAATTTTGAGGTATAGTTTACGCTTCGTAAGGGGTACACTCTGCATGTCTTGCGAGGTATTTGGGTAGAAGTAATTAATATATTAAATCTGGTTATAAAACAGCTAAAACGCTGTTCCTCATTGGGAAGGTCACTGATTAAGTATCTATAGTAATATGTATCAACATTCAAAAGAAATATGTATTTTTTATCTTTTTATCCAATCGATATTGACAGTCCTTTAACATAGCATGTATCTTTTTTAATAAAAAAAAAAACGTAATGAATGAGCGTCTGACTGGTACATAAGTATTAATTGAACTGATTTATAACCTAAAGTAAATAAATAAAAACACATATAAATATGTATCTTTTTACCCAAACAATATTCACAGTCAATAAACTAATGCTGCATATGTATCTATTTCAATCAAATAAAATTACACTGAAGGGAAGGCTCATAATCAATTAGGGACTCAGAAAAAAACCAAGGAGCGACTTGTATCTGAAGCAGTTACCAAGGGACAATAATGATTCTATTTGCCATGTTCACTGTATGTCACTTAAAACATCTAGATATTACAAGCTAGAAATTTGAAACAAAATCTGTGTAAAAGTTATTAGTATTGAATGATATATTACGGAGGGGAAATACTTTCTACAGTTTGAAGACTATGCGCCTAATCATCATCCATCGTACTGGTGGTATCGATGACTCACATAGAATTCCTGTAGAACTATAAGGTGTCGATTGTCACTTGAGATAGATTAAGATGTATTTAAAATAAACATGACAAAGCCACTATGTAAACAAACTAGAAAGAAAGACGTGTAATTTAAAATATAATACATACCATCATGCATATGCCATTATGACGTCAATATTGTGGACATAATACATTAAATGTTCTCCTTCAAAATGTCTGGTCTATCTAAATAATAAGACTATGGATAATTAATAATCTATTTTTAGTTTACATCAAACTACACGTATTTGCATATTTACTATAGTTCTGGATAAGGCAACGAGATGCCTGTAGGGCCTGTATCGCTTATCTGACTGCTGAAACTGCTTCATCCAAACTAAAGGTCAAGAAATATAAGCCTGCTTTAGGGCAAATTGGGTAAGAATCCCACAATTCCTACAACATATTCTAAACTAAGATCCGTCTTCATGCTTGGATGCTATAGACCACCCACGGATGCAGCAAACCGCATCAGGGGAGAATTCGCTCGATTTCCCAAAATTTGGCAATAACCTTTTTGCCACAAGAAGATAGGAACCACCGTTTATATAAAATGGATTTCTCTTCTCTCAAGGATGCTATAGACCACATTCGGCCCTCCCAGGGAGTTAGCCAAACCATTTATGCAAAAGTGTCCTTCATCTATTCCTGCTTCAGTTTGCATTGAGTCACATAATTCCAACAAAAGAAGGAACTCTAAGAAGCATATTTCAAAACAAAGAAATTTGGAGTTAGATAAAGTAGAGCCAAGCAATGAATTTTTCAGCAGTATACAACTGTTTCGTCTAAAGGGCTGATATCAATTCTTTATACAGAATCGAATTCCCTTCACCCTTGGATGCTAAATACCAAACTTGGATGCAACATATCAAATTCGGAGAGAATCTTGTCATTCCCTCAGAAAAGAAAATTTTCAAAAAATTAGATCGGTTCCCCCATTTGGCCCTGTCCCTCAAGCCCCAGGGTATCAGACCCGTCACTCTTGGTTACAGACCAAATCGCAAGATAATCCTGATATTTTTTACAGAACAAGAACCATTTAAAAGGAGTTGCTCTATCTCCTCTATTATGCAATGCCCTTACAGCACAAAAGGCCTTGACAAAAATCGATTTAACTTTACCCAATGATGCTTCAGACAAATATGGGACATAATTCAACAATTACAACAGAGGAAGGGGGGGGGGGTTGAGAATTTGCTCCATTTCTCCTAATTTTGGCAACCTGTGTCATAATGAGATCGTCTGTCAATAGACACCATTGTTTATTCGTCGTCAAGACGATTGCGATGTCTATGTCAACTTTGCTGATTCCAGGAGCTAGCGACATTTCCATATCGTCACCAGTTTGACCCAACAAATTAGAGAGGTTTACGACCAGTTCGTAAAGACACTGTTGATGTCGTGTACATAGGGATTTCTTCCTTGGTGACAGGGTCTGTGTACAACTCCAGCAACCTGAGCGAGAAAATAAATTATTTTATCAAAACATCAATAGTAAATTAGACAGAAAAGTGACTAACTTTCTAATCAGAACTTTTTCATCATTTTTCATCATACATTTTAGTTGATCATAGTCCGTAATTCACGCTGTGATGAGCTAATGTAAAGAGAGTCTTGATATTGACTATATGATGCAAGATACAATAAACGTACATATTTAGCTCAACTAGTTTTATTACTCTTTCTCAAAAGTTGGCTCAATGATGAATATAAGGATTTGGTATGAGTATGAAAATGTAACTAAAGTTTAAGGAAAATATTTGCGGCTTTTTAGTCATTTATAAACATGATGTAGGCTAACTCTGAAACATTACAAGGAAATGGATATATGAATGAGTCAATATCAGCTTTGAGGGGTCATGGTCCCTTGACCCCTTCAATGCTTTCATTGCTGAAATATCAACTTTGGACAATCCTATCAAGTTATTGTGGGATTGCAAGGGTAGTAGGAATCTAAAGAGGCACTTCCCCAATCTCCCTCTTCCCGCTTTCTCCTACTGGATCACCTGGGTCACTTATATAGTACTGCCATACTGTCCTGCCAGATTGGCGTCAGAGCTATGTGTAGATATCCAAGGGCGTACTATGTACCTACCTAACAGATCAGTAAGAGAGTAGTAAGAAATTATGGAACCACCGTCAACCCCCTTTCCCCTCCTCCCCGCCAACACCGCTCGTCCCTCTTGCTCCTCCTTGCTAACTTTTATATATTTAGATATTGATGTCATAATTATTGATATATCTTTAATAGCGGACGTTATTACGCAGCTCCCATTCAACCTTGCTCTCCCCTATTGTCTTTTTTAATATTTAGAAATTTGCGTCAGAGCTGTAGATATATCGTAAAGGCCAACAATGTTTACAACCGTTAATATCCTGAAGGTGAAGAGGTAATCATAAAAAAGGTATGACAGCAAACATTTATATTTACATTACATTTACATGTATATGTATACTAATACATAATGTAATATTTGAAAGGACAAATTGATCGACATATCGTCCAGGTGCCTACAGCTGTAAACATATGTCTAATATGAAAAGATTCATTTCATTTATCTTCATGTTCCAAACCTATCATGTTATTTTTTTCATTAGCAAAGGGATTAAAGCTTTATAGTTGACCGAGTACATCAGGTAATATTCTTAAACTATCAAAGTATCAAACATATCGTTTAAATTATCTTATAATTATCATCCTTTGTGACATGACTGTTCGAGTCAAAGTCATGATTATCCAATCTTGCTTCTACCGTATACCACAATCCTTTACAAGATGATTACTCATCTTCGAGAGAATTCTGAACGAATTAACAACCAACACAACTTCATTGAATGATTATTCGTGAAATCTGAAACGCATATAAACATATCTAAAACACACTGTGATGTATGAGCTTATTCTATTTTTTAAAGTTAAAACTACGTCGGCAATTACTTGATAATATCACGTTTTGATGGATGTTTACTCCTTCATTGTTCAACCAAAATATGTCATCATCTTGAAAAGAATTGTGGTATGTGATAAAAGTAGGATTGGAAATAGATAGTGTAGACGTACACAGTAATGTCACAAAATGGATAATTATCTGATCCAAAAGGTAGGGCAGAGGCAGAGCGAGGCAGAGGCAAAGCGGGGCCGGCGGAGGAAGAGGGTTGGGGGCGGTGGTCCGCTTTGCTGCCAATATTTATTTTCGCAAGATACTACTGAATTACTTTCACTCACATATTCTACTTCTACAAATTAGCCAGGAAAGGTAATTAGTTCAACCACATTGCATAATAACACCTCAGATATAACTTTTACATGGACAATTTCAAGGCTAAACGCTGCTAATCTAAGCTAAGTGGAATTTATCATTCAAGAATGTCCAAACTTGGTCTGAATTCTCGATTAAGATATTAGTTATTACACGACTGTGTACAATAGATTTTTCTCACTATAGGGTTATCTCACTATTCTTCAGATCCGGTGAAGGACAATTTTCTTTTGATACATAAGGTGCGATATACCTTTTGGTGAGGTCATCGAATATGGCTGACGAAGGATTATGTTGGAGGTAGGTTTGACTAACAGAGAGAGTAGTTATGAAGCCCACGTATTCATGAACAGCCAAGGTGTGGTTCATCGGTACCGTTCGTATCCTGTGAAAACAACAACGTTACACATTAAAGTAATATTGAGTCAATTTCACATGAAAGGGCGCCTTATTATCTTCAAACGTTGACATTTTTACATTCACAGATGCTAGAAAATATGTACAATTTGTGATAAAAGGATGTTGAGTATGATCTACGCCTTATACTGCTTTGTTTAGCAAGTAATGATATAGGAAAACATTCATTTAGGAAAACAGATATCAATTTATGAAATTATCTATGTCTTAGCTTTTTTACGGTAATGGAATAAGTGTCTTGCAAAAGTGTTACAACTTAACCTTTCAGTAGATTAGGTAAGTAGTTCTTACATTCTACCGCTACAAATAGTGTCCAGTACATGTTATTTAATATTGTGTATTATGTAAAAAAAAAAAAAAAGTATAATACCTATATACTATATTTGGTTAAAAGTATACGTTTATTACATCTTCAATTGCTTCAATTACAAGTTCAGAACTTTATGAAACCACTACAAAATGTATATTGTGATATTACAAAATAAATATATGAATAAAATCAAGTTGTTCATTTCAAAGATTTTTACAAAGTATTTGGGTAATTTCTTTATTTGTAGGATTCCAACAGACGCATTTACTATTGTATAGAAAGGTTGTCTAAATTCGTGTACCCTGTACATATTTATAAGCGTGATTTGTATATATATATTTATATAGTGAGATGGTAAGTGCTGACTATACAAATTTTCAAATATTGTACTTTATGCAACAGGTAAAGATGAGTAAGTTTTATATTTTGGTGAATTTAAAGTCTAACGATGCTTTGTGCTGTCTCGTAAGTCAATTTATCTCCGACGCATATAGGCTTAGAAAATTATATATATAATGAAGTGATAAGTATTGACTATAAAAATCTTCAAATGTGGTATTTTATGGTATAAAGGAATAGGTGTGACAAGTTGGTAAATTTTAAGTAATGTTGATGTATATTGATTTGTTTTCATGTCTGGTTGCCCATTCATCTTTGTCTGGATATTTGTTTCATATGTGTAATTTGAGTAGTATTCTATGTAGATCACACAGGAAACAAGACTTACACGTATTCTCTGCGGGACTACATAAATCTTACACTTGATACGAAATATAATCAATCTCAACATTGTTAATTAAAGGGATAAGGAAAGTGTCTGATTTGTTTCCGGAAACCATGATTATTTCCTGAAGGAACACCCAAATTTGCACAAACCCTTAAACTCGCCCAGTAATTTATTTTTTCTGATACAAACCGTAATGATATTTCTAATTAGAAAACATAAACTAAAAAACATTCACCAAGGATTTTTATGTCAATTTAAAAGCGTTTTCAGGGCTTATTACTATAACATCAGAATGAAGTGGGGTGACTCTTGGAAATCAGAATACATACTTTTATTGCTTATAAACAAACAAACGATGCGCCTGTTTAAGATCCAAGGCTAAGCAAAAACATCAGAATGAAGGGGGATAACTCTAGGAGATCTTAAATACAAACTTTTATTGCTTATAAACAAAATAGTGCTGCGCTTGTTAAAGATCAAAGACTAAGCAAAAACATCAGAATGAAGGGGGATAACTCTTGGAGATCTTAAATACATACTTTTATTGCTTATAAACAAAATAGTGATACACTTGTTAAAGATAAAAAACTAAGCAAAAAACATCAGAATGAAGGGGGATAACTCTTGGAGATCAGAATACATACTTTTATTACTCATAACAAACTAGCGATGCACTTGTTTAAGATCAAAGACTAAGCAAAAACATCAGAATGAAGGGGAGTATCTCGTGGAGATAGGAATGAAGCATTTAGGAGGAAAGTGTGGGACAATATGGATTTAACCATGTAGATGCAGATTAAGTAAAGCAAAAGGACATATAATTACAACAGCCAACTTACCCGTGGTTGTCTTCAAATGGGATTTCATAATCCTCCAAGTTTGGAAATATTCGACTGCTTGCGTATTCACTTAGATGTTCTTTATAGAACTATGAATAAAAAACATCAACAGTATCATTAATCCGGTTTCTCTTTCATTGCCTCGCCAACCCTGCTGCCAGTATTTGTTTATCATAAATAATAGATATATATTACATGGTAGGAGGTGGTTGTCTTCTGTGTGCTTTTCTAAAAAAAAAGTAGGGAGAAATAAGATAAAAAAAAAAGGATTTACATGGAGGCTCTAAAAAACACAAGAAAAAGACGTGGTGTTCCGAAAGGGTAAGCGACTTCTGATTACCTTCTAAACCTACAGTGTTAGTCTTGGTCAATCAATGTAAGTAATGGCACGTTTCAGAAAGAGAAAAAGGTAAACCACCAGGGACATTCTCGGCCTCGTTGTAATCAAAAGAATCTGATTAATTTTGTATTCATTTATTTGTCTTTTTTAAAGGAGAAAGTTGCTTATCTATATTTTAAAATGTCATTCATAAAAGAGATCCCAGAGTGATTTGGGCGCTAATCATTGTTTGATCTTTATTTGTTCTTTGAAAGTTGGATATTTTCCCTTCGTTTCTCTTCTCTTCTCGCTTTTTGCTCTGAATGATAAGAAATTTGAACACTAATCCTTTGCGAAAATAGCGATAATAATCTTTAACCCAAATCAAAGATGGTCTTTTTCTGATAAGTCCAAAAATCAATTGGGTTTATCTAGAGACCACGGGGAATATACACAATGAATTTGAGAGTGATCCATTCAGTACTTTATCAGAAATAGCAATAACCAACTTTACTGGGCGCAACCCAAGATAACCGCCTGTCTGCAATTTTGTTATTCTGATCAATACCAAAAAAGCCCGACACAACTAGTGACCAAGGGGAACCTACCTACGTAATTTCAGAAAGAACTATGCAGTAGTTGTTAAGAAATTTGAATAGTCTATCATTCTAATAAAAAAGTGTTTCCTGCAAGAAAATGCCAGGTCAAACACACACGATAACATACAAAAGAAACATAAGTGAAAAAGTATGTTACAATACAGTCCACATACTTGTGCTTCCATCTGCCTTGCCTCTTCCTTGTCGGGTTTAGGTAGTACATAAGTGTACACGATGAATGACCCTCCAGGCTTAAGTATCCTATCTACCTCTTTATAAAACTTGTCTGTGTCCAGCCAATGTATAGCGGCGGCTACCGATACAAGGTCGACTGACTTGTCTTTCTGAAAACTCAAATCCTCTGCAGGTCCGACGCGAAAATCCAGTCTGTTGGTGTCATATTTGTTGTCGAGGCTCTGCAATTCAAAATATGTTTGACAATGAATCTACGAACTACCGGAAGCATGATTTCCCCTCATGTTTTGGCAATCAGAAGTTCATCAGAGCTTAGCCTGCGTTCTATATTTCTGAAATACTTGTGGTTCATTTTTGTACAAAAATCCTAGTGTTCACTCTAGTCTTGTTGGTGAGTTAAACAGTGTAAAGAAAACAAATCCGGATAATGATTATCATTCACTAGGCTGATGAGGAAGCATGATACAATATAAGAACAACGTACAAGTTTAAATCACATCTCTTGCCCTTCAGTATTCTATAGATGATTTAACGGCACAATATTATAATCTGTACTACTAACAAACGTTTTCGACAATGTACTATTACAATAATAACAAGAACAACATGTAAACATTATCAAAATCTCAGATTCAATAAACCTAAACGTCTTATGCTTCATCGACGGCACCCGTTATGTAAATCTTGGTTAGGAATCGAAACTTCGATATTTGCTATATAACCTACTACATGCAGCTGATTTTAAATCGTTGTGTTAAGGACTATATGCAGTGTTTTATTCGAGACAAACTTTCTATCGACGTTGTATTTAAGTGCAACATATCCTTTAGAGTTCATAACCCTAAAATTAATTCTGATAAAATTTGAAAAATATTCTTTACATATTTTCGCAATCCAAATTAAGCATTAAATCGAAATCAGCATTTACACATGGATATATTTTCAGCTCAGACTACAATCACTTACTGCCAGTTCGATAAGTCTACGGTTACTTAGAGACGTATAACCAGTTTGATCTGAATACAGTTACCTGTAGACGTTTAGCCTGTGCGATCTGACTTTGGCTAACATCCACGCCTATAACGTTGTTGAACATCTCACACAGAGGAAAAGTTCCCTGCCCACTTCCGCACCCTACATCTACAGCAACGTCCATTCCAGTGGCCCCTGGGGCCTTGCAGAAGTCGCCAATCACCTCGTACAACGCATCTGGATACTTTGGTCGGTATTTAGCATACAGTTCTGCATGTGTTTCGCCCTCAAAAAGTAGAATACTCATGTTTTAAAGCTTGGGACGTTGATGAAGCGTTGTATCTGGAAATTATAATAATAAAAACATAATTAAAATAAAGGTAAACACGTGAATTTTTCTTATCTGTATGTAACTTGTCAAATGGATGCTGAGAATTCGTCAATAAACATAATAATATATTATCATTGTGACGTCACAATGCAAATGAATGGGATATATACAAAACATATATAAATTACGACCAGTTAAGTAGATATAAAAACAGCATATCCTACCTTACACCACACGTTAGTGACGTGACCTATACTACGTTGTAGTACATCCTGTAAATACCTGAATATAATACATAACGTTATTTACCTACCTGTCGTAGATCACCTGTCGTGTACAGTATCACAGGTACATTATATATGTAAACAGTCGAAGTTATACAGTACATCTATATATACCTCGTAAGACAGGTAATTCCTAACCAGAACATATATACGCGCACCTTCATTCAATGACGTAAAGTGATGTGATCATGTGACGACCAGGATGTTCCGTTTGATTTGCACTTGTGATTGAACAGGCTCGATCTAGTCATCAATGCCTGCACTTGTCTTCTCTCTTCGCTGGATGTAATGACCCTTTACAACCAATATAACACTACAAACTTGACCTACAACCTGATGCGGCAAACGTCATGTCTTATACGCCTGATGGGTAATTACTTATTATAAGCCCCCTGTTCACGTTGATATATTTGTATATATTTACAGGGCGGGCTGTATACTGTATATATATATATATATATATATTTATACAATATAGAGACTTACCAACTCTACAGTGTACTTAAACATATTCTCATGACCCAAAGATCGGCAAATACTTCTGTTGTTTTTGTCACGTAATCCCGCCCCCACTACACCAATCCGCACATCTTTTACATATATTATATACTGTACGTTGAACAAGAAAGTCTATCAAGTTGTCGGTATTCATATATATAGTACAACTGTACACAGCTAATTACAAAGAATGATTTGAATTTTTTAAATAGCAGATCGAATTTTGATATATACAAACTATTTCCAATTCGCGCTTTTAAAGTTAAAACTGACATTAGTCTTTTAATTCAATAGCGTATGTGTATTTCGACATCGACATTTCCAGTGAATCCCTTAAGAATAAGCCAAAATGTAATAACATGTTCGTCGATGTAAATTGTACTTGTATTACATTCGTCATATAAAATGACTTTTGACTGACATATAAGATAACATACTCGATACAAAAAGTGAAATGATTAACAAAGGAAAACGTTCTATACATAGAACAAGGTATGATCTCTGACCTATATATGGTATGGCTTTAGACTTGTAAGGTATGACCTCTGACCTATATTTGGTATGACTTTTGACTTGTAAGGTATGACCTCTGACATATATGTGGAATGACTTTTGACTCGCAAGGTATGACCTCTGACATATATGTGGTATGACTTTTGACTCGTAAGGTATGACCGCTGACCTATATATGGTATGACTTTTGACTTGTAAGGTATCACCTGACATTTATATGGTATGACTTTTGATTTGTAAGGTATGACCTCTGACATATTTATGGTATGACTGATTCGTGAGGTATGACCTCTGACCTATATATGGTTTGACTTTTGACTTGTAAGGTATGACCTATGACCTATATATGGTTTGACTTTTGACTTGTAAGGTATGACCTATGACCTATATATGGTATGACTTTTGACTTGTAAGGTATGACTTATGACATATTTATGGTATGACTTTTGACTTGTAAGGTATGACCTCTGACCTATATATGGTATGACTTTTGATTCGTAAGGTATGACTTCTGACAATGAAACGAAGTATAACCTCCGAAACACAATGCATGAATTTGGCAGCATCGGACACGTCAAAACTATTAAATTATTTTATTCTCTGTAGAGCCTTGAAGTATACAGAGAATGAGGAACTCAACATGAAATATCTCAATTTATATGCTTATTATTCATATCAAATATGAAGTCACGTTTCACATTCTATTAATGATAACATCATTGGACTATAATTTACATACAATTAACATCCAATTTTGTTGAGTTCCAGTTTTTATTGTCATCATTAAGACAGATGTTACACACTTGTGATGTTCCATCAGTTCACACTAAGGCCACATTTACATTAAAATGAATGTGTTTGTTTGGCCCAGTTAACGTTATACGAATAATTTTGATTGTGGAATGCAATGCAAGTTACCATGTTCCGTTTCATTGTCATTTTTCGAGCTTAAATGGGGTGCAAAAGTATGTGTATATTTCATGAATATTATGAAATTAAGAAAGCCAAAGTAAGTCATTCGAAGAGATATTTAAGACACAATTCCGATCAAATAAATAACGACCGAAATTTAGTACGTTTGTTTGTTTGTTTACTTGCTTTATTATAATTTTGATCAACCACAAAGAAAATATATCCGCCATTTCTATACCGGATATCGACATAAGTACTGCCTTGATAGGTTGTTGTCATTGGTCTGACGTCACCGAGTTGTCCCAGAGTCACAAAGTCGGGTACGCCTAGTGTACACCGGTTTTAGGACAATCCTGTACCACAGATATTCCCTACGAGTCAGTACATCCGACTTAGTCTACTTCCATGAATTGCTCGCTCATATCGCCGCATTTATAAGCTTACAGCTTTTAGATAGACGTTTTAGTGTTTTCCCTTTGTAAATACGCCAGTAAGTGGACCATTAAAACCTCTCTACACCCACGTTTCAATATATTTCATAGACATTACAGTAACACGTTTGTTATCCAGGTAGTCAATGCACCTCTAGTGGTTCAGAGTACCCAGGAGAAACTTGTAGTATCGTTTTCTCTGGTGCGATTTCGTGTATTCAAACAACAAAATTAAAATCCGTTCTAGCAAGTTCAAACGGTGCAGTATTAGTTATCTAAGAAATTATTTTCCCCGAAAATGCAAGGATTCAAAAAGGCGTTTTTCTTGCTCAAGTATTTTTATTACAATGGAAATCCAAGTTTTTACTCATTGTTTTAAGTCGGTGTGAGCAAATGATTACAGCCGTAATATATGGATTTATCGAAGACTATGTGTTCGATAAAAAGCTTAAACCAAAGACATTATTAATAAAAAACTGATTGATTCCTAATATCATAAATATAGATTATTTCTTGTCAGTTATTCTATCTGAAAATATCTCTTAATGGTTTAAAAGTTTCTGTATCGCTAGATAATCACCATGCCTGTGATATTACATAAATGTGATTGTCTGAAGAAGATCTTTGCTTTTTTTGAGGTCGAACTAGGCGAAGAAACTTACAAAATAAAGGGTTATTGGATCAGCAAACAATGAAATGGACAGACTCAAAATTAGATGCTAGTGTGTTCTAGTCAACGATCATTCATTTAAAACATATCCGTTGGTGAGTAGTATCCCACTAAAAAGTGCCCTTGAGTGGCACATAGTCATTTATACAATAACGAGAATTAATTGTAACAGTATCCCAGACCTTTTATCTACGGATGACACGAAGGTAAACCGCCACTTACAAAGTATCAATGGTAATTAATGATTTTGATTAAAAACGACTTTAAATGTGGTCAGAGAAATGGTTCAAAAATTGTAAAAAAAGAAAATATGTTTCAAAAATTTGTAGAGAAAAGATAGCATTGGAAAATATATCAACAGAGAATAAAGATTAGAGAGATTTTCGATAATTCCATGATAGAGAAACAAAGCTTCTACTGGATAGAAAGGTCTTGATTATACTGTACGTGACACAGGAATATCACAACATTACTGCACAAAAGAATGAGGATATAAATACTGTATATAAATCATTATAGATATATACAAGTCGGTTAAAGTTGACAACAGTAATTAATAAGAACGTTTTTAGAAAAAATATTTCTTTCGTTTAAACAATACATTTAATTTATAATAACCATATTTCAGGAAGCCATTCATAATGTTGAATATCTTAATGATGATGTAAGTTGTGCTGTGTAATACTATTGGGACTGATATGGATACAAAGCTTAATGCTAGCGTCCATTACAGTTCGTAGTAAATTGTAATAAACAGACGAGTAAAAGCGACTTGAACCAATAAAAGCAAGGTCTGATAGCAGTACTTACACAATGAAATGGTCGTACAAATTTAAACATACCAAAATTCACGTAACGAAGTGTTGGATGTGGTAATAAAGTCCATTGAAGTTTCAGTCAGTTTACCGGCAACTGAGGCATTTATATCACGAAGTCTCCTTTGTGGTTCGTTTAAATGATTCAATATTTACAATACCTGTGTACACTTTGTACAGTGTCAACAGATTTTCCTGATTACTCCAGGTTTGCAAGCTGTTCAGAGGTTCAGATTGTCTCGTCTTTATACATCAAACTAGCCGCGTCATTACCAGCCAAACTGAGACGTGAATTTAAAACTTGCCAACTGTAAATATTGATTACAAAAGTACTTCTACAGGATATATAATGATGTAAAATTAAAACGTTTTTACACAGAAAACTTGATGCATTTGTGTTTGTTTTGAATCAATAAGAAATTTGTCTGTAGTCTTATTGTCTGTCCGTCTGTCTTATTGTCTGTCTGTCTTATTGTCTGTCTGTCTTAGTGTCTTAGTGTCTGTCTGTCTGTGTCTGTCTGTCTGTCTGTCTGTGTCTGTCTCTCTGTGTCTGTCTGTCTGTCTGTCTGTGTCCGTCTGTCTGCTTATGTATTGCCTGTCTGTCCATACTTCTTCTTTCTTTCGGCTTTTTTTGAAGCACATCACATGAGTCTAACTTATTTTTTGTATGTACCGGTATGTAATGTATGTGTGTGTGTGTGTGTGTGAATGTGTACATGTATGGGTGATAGGGTTTGTGCGCGCATGTGTGTGTGTGTGTGTGTGTGTGTGTGTGTGTGTGTGTGTGTGTGTGTGTGTGTGTGTGTGTGTGTGTGTGTGTGTGTGTGTGTGTGTGTGTGTGTGTGTGTGTGTGTGTGTGTGTGTGTGTGTGTGTGTGTGAGGGTGTGT